GCAGTCCACATAGAGCCTTTGTTCAACTATAAGCAGGATTGGGCTCATGTGAGCAGTTTCAGCTGTTGTCAACATGCAGTTTCAGCAAAATAGCCTTGGACTTATTTTGAATTGAAAATATAAATCCATAAAAATTGATCTCATAGTCTCAAAATCTATTCAACTCTTCACTAAAATGTGATCCTCATGAGATATACCAAGATAAAAGTAATCCCCAACCTTTATTTTTTATGGATGAAAGAGTCAGTGCAATGACATCAATAAGAAATGAGATGAATCTTGAACTTATTTGTAAGCTTCATTCACCTAATAAGCATATCTTATAGATTGAAAATGTAAACCCGTGACAAATGTATCCATGACTCTAAAAATCGATGGGTTAATAAAAATTGGAAAGACGAAAACTAATACCTCCGGATACAATATCCAAACTAGTAAACTGCAAAATTCTATCCAAGCAGGCATCATGAAACAACAACTCGCACAAGACACTTAAAATGAAAACCTGGGTTTCACCTACTATTTATCCACAAGTAACAACATAAATCCTGATATCTGTTACACTGTTTGTAGTGAATTGATGATAACAAAATCTTGACTCATAAGCTCTCCAATACTGTTCAGTTTCTCCAAATGTGCTTCGTAGACATAACAACAGTAATAGTGTTTAGCCTAAATAACACCCAGAAATTTCTCTTTGCAATGTAAATCAACACTAGTCATAATTCAGCATGGTATTAGCTGTTATTTACACACTTCCTGGTGTAAGCACCATCAAAACACAGTCGTCAAGTCAGCCCCTCATCCCTAAAGGTAAACTTCACTAACCCTGTGCAACTAATTGCTCACAGTTCTTTATACTCACCACTCCACAACCCCACCTTCCCTGTGTACTATAATGGAGTTATAAAGTCTTGATGCTGTCTGGTACAAAAGGACCTTGTTTGTACATCAGTTGAGTGGAAAGTTGAAAGGAACACTGCATTTGCACTTACAAGAACACATACAATATCATGACATAGAGGCTGTTTTCGTTTTTTCCTTTTCAATAAATGACCTATGGATATTTTTCAAAAGAGAAAAAAAATTAAATGACCTATGAATATGTTACCAAAATGTTGATACATGAGTTCAATGAAAGATGGCTGAAGCATTGTAGAATGCTTATGTTAGTCTGCATTCATGATTTTATGTGGGAATGTACAAGTTTAAGTCTGAAGTGTTCAAGTACAGAAACACTCAGCTAATGCACAGTTATAAAGTTTGACAATGATATTCCAAATAAACAGAAGAAACCTTAAGTCAAATTTCTCAGGGAGCTTTCTATTTAAATTTTACTAAAATGGCTATTTTTTGTAACTACCCTTCCCATTGCCTCACTCCAGGATCCCCCATGCTCTCTTCCACTCACCTTAACTAATACAGTCATCTATCTCTATTCTTTCCATTAATAGCTATTTATTTAAGTAAAAGTATAACTAATTTTTCATGTGCTAAGTAACATTTTCTCTCAAACATTGCACATACAATTCGCTAGCAATTTCTAATAGCAATCATATATATAAAAAAAAAATATAACAGAGAATTCTACCACAGAAAACAGAAAAGCAACTGTTCCTCCTTCCTAAGGTTTCTAATAAAGCAAGCCTAGGCAATTGGCACATTTCCTTGTTCATTATTGCTCTTAAAAGGGTGTACTTTCCTCATTAATTGTTTTTCCCCTTGAAAATGAATTATGTAAAGTTATAAAGTGTTATGACCTTCAAGGACAACTAGTGCAACAGGAGCACAACCTATGGCCAACAAGCACAATTGCAGGAGGAGAATCTCCATACAATTCCTTCAAAACAGCAAAAGCATCATTGCAACACGTAAGCTATCTTTAAATCCATGGATGCAACACTAGAATGACAGAGTTCATGACATTACAAATAATTCTTGACTGCAGGCAAATATCCTTGATTATTTCTATCAGCTATGCTCAAAGTGTACAGCACATAAAAGAAAAAAAGAGGCAAAATCTGCAGGCTAGTTAGAGACTTTGTTTAAGTATGAGCAACATTTTGGCTTATGTGAAGCATACCAAACATGGAAAGATAAGACATCATCTAGATTACCTGTTGATATACTAAACAGAACATAAATTAAGAGGACAAACCATGACATGATATCGTTGAGAAAATCAACGAGCAATTAAAAATGGTTCCATGTTGAAAGAAGTTGAAACAAAGACTGAAAAGAATTGCCAATATACTTTATGAGAAAAAAAATCAAGGCAATCCTAACAAGTTGACTTTCTCTTGTTGCCATCAGTCAATCATATTCTTGAGATTCTTTTCTACTCAGTAAAATAAATGTAAAATATGTAGAGAAAGAAAAAGCTTTGTTCCTAGGTTACTTGTACACGATTGACCAGGGGAAAAAATCCTCAATGCTTTAGCTTATGGACCTCCAGTGAGCTCATTTATGCAAATAGAAACAGAAGATTAGCAGTAGATTTCCGCTTATAGAAATTTCAAATTAATATCATCCATTATTAGCACTTGGCTGTGAAATCAAGCTGGAAAAGCTGCTCTTCAAAGTTCCAGCCAGATCTTCTCTGCCTGATTTCTGAAGCTGCTTCGTAACAGTCATATACACCGCAAAGTTTGGTTTTAGACCCTTTTCTATCATCTCAGAAAGAATACTTTGTGCAATGACTGGTTTTCCCCTTTTTCTATGAAGACTCGCCAACAAACTGTAAAGTATATTGCTTACTTGCTTGTACTTATCACCACAAACAACTACATAGTTGTGCGCCTCCTCGTACTGCTGCAATTTGAAGTAACCCTTGACAAAGGCAGCATGCGTTGTAACCCGAGGTTCAATACCGCTTGAATCCATTTTATTGAGCCATTCAAACGCCATATCTAACCTACCAAGTCCACAGTAATAACATATAAATATCTCAAACGTCACTGCATCCGGTGGACAGCCACTTTCCAGCATCTGCTCAAGCAGTTGACAAGCCTCAGCAACTTTATCATTCTTGCATAAACAACTGAGTATATTGTTAAAAGTTTGGGAATTTGGGTTACAACCAACTTTGATCATCCAATCAAGTATCTCTCTAGCTCCTTCAAAATCACCTTTACGACACTGTCCTCTAATCAAAATATTGTAGTTCGACAACCTCTTCTCTGCTTTTGCAATTACATATTTAGCCATTTCAAAGGATTCTAGAGCACACAACATCTCTATCAAAGCATGGATTCCAGAAACACCACATGAGCCACCGATTCGGTTTAAGACCTCGACCACTTTGCATATGGATTTCTTTGTTGCGGCTTTACTAGAAATCATAACAGGTACAAATCCGAAAGCCCTATGATTCAGGCGTATCCCATGGAGCTTAAAATCGTTCAAAAGACTAGCCGCTGAGTCAAAGTCATCTAATCTCCCACAATTATCAATAACGAAACTACAAATGTCAGAGTTATGATAAAACTGGGGATGTGATTCTCGAATCCAATAGAAGAAACGCAATGCAGAAACCTTCTCGCTATTTAAAATCCGAAAGATGGTATTCAATGATGCCTCGGATAGACTTACATTCATTCCGTCCAACTTGGATTCCAAATCGTTCTGACCGCTTCTAATCAAACTGACAACCTCCAAAGCTTGCTTCCTACTTGCCATTAGCCCTGAGACTGACACTGAGAAACTTCGAAACCACCGAAAATCATACATATTGAAAATTTGAGAAGATGGGTATGCCGTAGAAAGAAACGAGGTGGACCCATTTAAGGAAACGAGAGAAGCTGAAGAATCTGAAGAAGAAATGGAGTGAAATTGATGGAAACTGAGAATCGGGGTCGGAGAGGGCTTGGGAAAGAGGAGGGTTTGGGGAGAGGAAAAGAGAAAGGGAACTGATTTGGAAGAAACAGAGAAGAGAAGAGAAGAAAGGCAGTAATGAGTAATGGGGAAGTGCCTGAGATTGAGATTTCGTCTGAAAAGATACGAGATCTCCATTCATACGAGCGAACTTCTCTGATTTCTGGGTTTTAGAAAGGGTTTTATCATTTATGAACGCAAGACAGAAGAAGCGTGCGCGAGGCTGAGTTGAGTTGAGTTGGTCGGAACTCGGAAAGGTAAGTAAAGGGCACTTAAAAGTGTACGTACATATTTATGTTATGACATGTAAAAAGTTATTTAATAATATTTTTATTTATTTTTAATCAATAAAAAATGTTTAATTTTGTCAAATAAAATTTATAAAATAATTTTGAATTATTTAAAAATAATTAAATAAAATAACTCAAGAGAAATATGGAACCAAATATAGGAGGTTAATGTGAAAAATATAATTTTTTATAAGTTTATGAATTATTAAAGAATAAAGTGAGAGTACAATGAAGAATTATATTTTTCTTTAACATCCATCCTTTTTATTCTTGATTTCCTATATTTTTTATTTTAATAAAAATTATTTTATTTTATTTATTTTAAATATTATTATTTGGTTTAATAAAATCGAGTCTTTTATATTTTTTATTTATAAAAAATAAATTAAATTTTATCAAATAGTTTTTTACATCCGAGAAGACTTCTACATCAAATTACTATATAAAATTTTTTATGGCACACTCATTGGTATTACTAAATAAAATTTGTTCAATTATATATATATGGATCTTGACTTACAAAATGAGAGGTAAAACCTACTTATACGGCAAACTTTAATAAAATTTAAAAATAAAAACAAGTTAATCAGTAAATAAAATCCCTTACTAATAAAACGGGTAGTAATAAATAAATATGTGTTTTAGTTTTTTATTTTTATATTTGTCATGATGCGTACACAACAACTTATTTAACTTTATATAAAATAAATGCTAAAATATCTTTAGATATACACAAAATATATATATATATATATACGTATAAAGTTGGTGTATACAATAACACATTAAACATAGGGAAATTAGTTGATGTTCTAATAAAATACCTCTAACAACAACTTATTTAGCTTTGTATAGAAGAAATACTAAAATTGAAGCTACAACAGCAAGGGAAGAAAAGATCATGCAAGTTTTTGTGAGAAGGGGCATGCCCTTGGACTTAATCAGCCCAAGAGCATCTGATCTTGTTGGAAGGGCTGGAATTACTCCATTTTTAGTTACACAAATTGCTCCACAAGCATTTGCAAACAACAAAGCTTCCCTTAATCTCCTCTCATCCTGCAAATATATATATATATATATATATATATAGATATAGATAGATATTTCATTCTTAAAATTTTTGTATCATTTCAAAAGTGAATTTCAAATTTAAAACCCAAGAAGTGCATTAATATGGAATGAGAAAGAAAGTACCTGAAAAAAATTAGTATCCATGGCCAGTGAGACTAGAATGGATCCAACAAATGCATCACCAGCTCCTGTTGTATTCACAGTTTTCACTGAGAACCCATCGACCTTTCCTTTGAAATGCTGTTTCAAAACATGATGCCATGCAAATGTGACTACTAAAAAGTTTTCTCATCGACAATAAGGAAATTTATTTAGTTTTGTTGTGTGTGCGTATCTAAGAAAGAGAGAACAAGTACCTTAGTGAAGTATCTACAACCTTTCTCTCCATCAGTGACAATAAGCAACTTGAGATTCTGATGCCATAGAGACAACACAACATCTTCCCTTCTAGCATCTCCGTGAGTGAGAAAAGCTACCTCATCATCACTCACCTACGTAATCACAAACTCTTTGAACAATTTTAAAAATTGCATAAATAACAAAGCTCTAACATTCCTACTTAATTTTTGATCATGATGTTATTTTTATTTAGGAGAGAGATAATTTATCAATATATTAAAATGAATTAGAGGTTCACGATTTGATGACACATGATAAGAAAGATAATGGTGTAATTTTTTAAATTGTGAGAGATAATGGTGAATCTAAGATTTTACATAAAAAGTGAACAAAGAATAATTATAAATGTAACCATATTATATATATATCAAGTTTTATATTTATAATAAAAAAAAATAAAAATTAAAGGTTACGTCACGCTTGCCAGTGGTGGTGGTGACTTGGGCATTTAGGAAGCGAGTGATAAAAAAATGAGAAAGATGAGGGAGAAAGCAAGTGGGAGCATAAGAAGGCAACTAAGGGTAAACAACCTAGGCTTCATATTTAAGTTGTATTATCATATAAAATCAATTGTTAAATTTTATATCACGAATTAAATCAAACCAACTTATTTGACAAAATTACTTAAAAAACTATTTAATATCATAACAAAAATAAAGTTGAAGTTTTTTTTATTTTACTTATAAAATGCATTAAATAATACCTAATTCTTTATAAAAATATTGATGATCTTGATGATATCTCCTTTCCATATGTATAGAATCACTCCTTTCCATATGTACAAAATCATTGACTTCCATTTTGTGCATAATTCGTGGCTAGACTATAGCATAATTCCTAACTAGATTATAGGCCATTATCTTCATTAGGTGATATGGTCTTTATTACACATATTGTAATTAGCTATAACATTCTGTATAAAAAGGTACATCACCGACTATCAATATAAGCAATTCTAGAGAGGTATTCTGATTTTATATGCTATTAGAGCAAGTCTCTTTCAAATCTTATTTGCAGGCATGTCTAGAGGTACAGCAGATAACACTAGTAGGGATTTGCTAACAGTTGCAAACACATCCCAAACCGTTGTAGTCGATACAAATTTTAAAACAATATAGGATTATATAAAATAATGAAATTCATGATGATAAATAATTCATAAAAATCAAAATTTAGAAAAAATAGTAAATTCATCATAATAATGAATATGGCTAAAATAGAAAGGCAAATATATATGATCATAAAAAATAATAAGTTTAGGAGAAGGTAAAAGAATAATAGTTAGCTAAAATGAAAATAGGTTAAGATAATAAAAACTAGGAAAGAATTTAGGTAAAAAATAAAATATATAAATAATAATATTTACGAAATAAAATATTTGGTTTTAAAAATATGATTTTTAGGGAAGTTTATATATGGTAAAATAAATAAGTGCTTACACGGCAAAAATAGATAATAAAATAAAAAAATGGTTATATAAGAACAATAAGTAAATATAAAATATTTGTTCATGGTACATATGCATACAAGGAAAAATAGTAAAATTTTTAAAGATAAGAAACAAATATTAGAATTTATAGGCACATCACACATCATTACTGCATTATTAAATGCCATGACATGTAGATATTTCACGTACACGAGTATAAGTCCCAATGATGGGAGTTTCCGAAGGATCTTGCAAAGGCAAGTTTTCTTCGAAAAATTTCTTAAGTGAAAAGATATCTCCAAGTCTTACCGATACGATAGGAGGACTCAGAGAATATCTTTAATAAAAAAGCTTCTGCTCGTAATAGGTCTACATTCTCGAAAATATTATTTTTTCTACAAACATGAATGATTACCTCAATGATGGGATTTATTCGTTAAATTTACGAAAATAAGTTTTCTGGATATTTTCCTAGGTGAGAGAATATCACTGGATCCCACCAGTATGATGGGTGAATTCGGAAAATATCCTCAATAAAAGGTTTTCATCTGACATTATTTGTATTTCATACCATGCATTTCACAAGCGCATCATGTGCACGTCACACCCGTAAAACCAAATAAAATATTTTAATTTGTTAACAAAATAAAAGGTAAAATGAATAAATGATAATTAAAGAAACACAATGAATAAATTTAAAAATCAAGGCTCTAATAGGATAACCTACAATTAAGTGGTACCGTTCGTCGAACGAGCATCACGGGGGTACTAATCCCTTCCCGTACGTAATAGTATTCCTGAACCCAACTCTAAAAATCATTTACTAGTTTATCGCTCTTTCAACGAACCTAAAATTAATTTAGGACCTCGTCAATTAGAACTGAGTCAATAGCTGGCCAATCATACTTAGAAAAAAAAAGATTGGTGGTGACCCCTCAAATTCTCAAGTCAAGTGATCGGGTTTCCAGACCCGTACGTTATGACAGTTGCTGCTAGGACGTCAATCATTGAAGCAATAGAACTGATGGCAAAGAACACCGGAGGTGGACAAATAAGGGTTGCGAATCAAACAAGAGAAAGGACTTGGAAGACACAAGCTAGTGGGAATAGTGGAAGTAGCGGCGATAGGAATCTACATTGCACCATTAACACAAGACAACCCACACACGTGAACACTGTTATGGGCAAAATGGTTATCCTTCCTAGTGGCGCAAACCACAAAATTTCGTTAGAAACTAAGAAAGGGGACAACGAGCAAGTCGAACAATGGTGCATCATCATCACACACAAAGACACATATGGGTAGATCTTTCGCAGCAAATGTTGAAACTGAATCTCCTCTGATTCTAGGCCTATCAAGTACATAACTTCAATAGCTGATGGCTTTATTAGAGACATAAACCCAAAAGACTCCTTCGACAAATATGGTGGCAGCAAACTCCATAAATGATAATTTTTCTGGTAGGACTACATTTATAGTACTTTGGATCATCAATATAAGGGTCACTGATCATATCACTTGTCAAATTAAGATACTATCCAATGTGGTAAAGAATCCCTAACATACCTCCAGTGGAGATTCCTAATGGAGAGATAGTTGATGTGTGGGCCTTAGGGCAAGTGATTCTTGGCCAAAGTTTGGTTCTGAATAATGTCCTTGGCATACTAGAGTTTTGTTATAATTTGATACCAGTGACACAACTGACAAAAGACTTGAATTGTATATTGATATTTTAGCCTAATTTTTGTGTGATACAGGACTTACGTTCAAGGAAGCTTATTGGAGTGGGAAAGGCGAGGAGAGGCTTATATTTCTTGGAATCCACGAGAGGGAGCATGGCACTAGTGGCAAACAGGCAATGGAATGCGAGTTTATGGCACCATCAATTGGCACATCTACCTGTTCATCAATTCTCTGTGATTCCAAACTTATCTTGTTACTATGATACTCAGAAACATTTATTTTGTGATACATACTATAAAGCGAAATAGACATAGTTACCTTTTCTTGTTTTTACAAATAAAACTAATTTCATTTTTTAATTGATTCATTGTGATATCTGGGGTCCATATCACACTCAATCTTATATAGGAGCACATTATTTTCTCACTATTATAGATGATTACAATTAAGTCACTTGGGTTTATGTCATGAAATTCAAGTCTAAAACAAAAAAAATTTACTTCATTTTTTCCATTAGGTGAGGAATCAGTTGAATTTGGCAGTTAAGATTCTGAGAACTAATAATGGTTTCAAATTCAACTATAAGAACTTATTGGCTTATTACAATGAAAATGGGATGGAACGTCAGTGTAGTTGCACTGACACTCCACAATAGAATGGACTAGTAAAACTTAAGCATCGACATATATTGGAGGTTGCCAAGGCGCTATGATTTCATGCTAATCTACCCATTCGATTCTAGGGTGAGTGTGTTGTGACAGCAACCTACTTAATTAATTGAATGCCTCTTTCTGTTTTGTGCAACAAAACACCACATGAATTATTGATTGGAAAAGCTCCAACTTATGAGCACTTAAGGAGCTTTGGTTGCTTATGTTACGGGCATGTAAACACTTGGCCTTGAGACAAATTTACCCCACGAACTCGACCTAGCATGTTCATAGGTTATCCTAATAGTCAAAAGGGATATCATATCTTTGATCTCGAATATAAGTACATTTATACTTCTCGAGATGTTACTTTCCAGGAAAATTGTTTCCCTTTTGTTGCAAAAGGAATTCAACAAAATATTGGCGATTTACCAGCAAATTCCCAATCTCTTTGGCATGAAAATTCTATAAGAGATACAACAAGTCTTAATGGACATACCTCTCAAATGGGCAACAATCATAAGCATATTCTATTGGATCACACGGAACAACCTCACATTGCGTGTATAGGATCATAGATTGCAGATGAGCTAAGTCTTGATGATACACAGTTTACTAATGATCATGCAACTGTTCATGATGAAGTTTTGGGTCATAAATCTTCTTTGGACCATGATCGATTGCATGGGACTCCTCTTACCAATCATGATGTTGCAACCATTGAGCCAGTGGCACCTTCAATTACTCAATCCCCAAGAACTTCACCTTTTCTTTCGACTAAACGCACTAGAAAAATTACTAACACATTGGTAGATTACAATTTTGTGCTTTCGCCCTCACTCGCTCCATCACAACCCGCTCCACCATCAGCTAACTCAACGGTATTTCCTTTATCTAAGCATCTCACATATACTCAATTTTCTAATACTCATAATGCCTTCTTAGCAGCTATCTCCATTACAGATATGCCAAAAACCTTTTCTCAGGCAGTCAAGCATGATCACTAAAAGGGCGCTATGGCCAAAGAAATTTCAGTATTGGAGGAAAATAAAATGTGGGTACTTACCACTCTACTAAAAGGTAAACATGCCATTGATTCAAAATGCATTTATAAAGTCAAGTACAATCTAAACGGTAATGTGGAGCATTATAAAGCATGACTAGTGGGCAAAGGGTCAACTCAGGTTGAAAGGATAGACTTTCATGAGACTTGCACACCAGTTGTCGAGTTAGTTACTGTCCGGTGTTTACTAGCTATCACCACTGCTAATAATTGGGAGTTACACCAATTAGATTTAAACAATGCATTTCTTTATGGTGACTTAGACGAAGAAGTCTACATAAAGATTTCGAAGGGTTTTGCACATAAAGGGGAGCATAATGTCTATCGATTACAAAAATATCTTTATGGATTTCGTCAAGCATCACAAAATTGGTATCAAAAATTTACTTCCTCTTTCATAGCCATTGGTTACCAACAATCACATGCTAATCATTCATTGTTTACATCGTATCATGGTAAATCCCTTGTTGTTGTTTTGATTTATGTGGATGATGTTATCATCATAGGCACTGATTCGACTTGAATAAACTTCTTGAAATAGTACATAGATGATAAATTCCACATCAAGGATCTTGGCAAATTAAAATATTTTCTTAGCATTGAGTTACGCAATCACCTACTTGCATTACTTTATTTCAACACAAGTATATGCTAGATAATTTGGCTGAGAGTGACATAATGGGTAGTAAACCTGTTGCATTTCCCATGGAGCAACAGCACCCATTGATTGCAGGATTTGGCTAGCCTTGTGAAGATCCAGGACAGTATCGATGTGTTGTGGGCTGGTTACTTTATCTTACCATCACACGACCCGATATTAGTTACGTTGTGCACATATTAAGTCAATTTATTCATGATCCAAGACAACTACACTTGAAAGTTGCTTATCAAGTAATCCACTATTTGAAGAATGCACCGGGCGAGGGTATTTTTCTTCCATCTAACAATTCACTCACACTTCGTGCATATTGCAATGTTGATTGGGCAAGATGCCCTCTCACTCGATGATCTACTTTTAGGTATATTGTGTTTCTTGGGTCTTCCCCCATTTATTGGAAAGCAAAGAAACTAATAGTTGTTTCTCGCTCTTTGGCAGAAGCAGAGTACAGAGCTATGGCTACAGTCACTAATGAGATAATTTGGTTGATTCAACTTCTTCGTGACTTTGGTGTCATGTGTTCCACTTTTGTTTCGTTATTTTGTGATAACCAAGCTGCACATATCACCTCAAATCCAGTTTTTCATGAATGAACGAAGCACGTTGAAATAGACTGCCACTTCGTTCGGCATCACATTCAATCAAAGGTACTAATTCCTCATCACATTTCCACTACATACTAATTGGCTGATATATTCACAAAAGCTCTTAGACGAGATTGTTTTCTTGAACTACTTACCAAGTTGGGCATCTCAAATCTTCATGCTCCAACTTGAGGGGGAATATTGATGATCTTGATGATTTCTCCTTTCCATATGTACCGACTCACTCCTTTCCATATGTACAGAATCATTGACTTCCATTTTGTGCATAATATGTGGCTAGACCATAGCATAATTCCTAGCTAGATTGTAGGTCATTATCTTCATTAAGTGATATAGTCTTTATTACACAAATTGTAATTAGCTATAACATTCTGTATAAAATGGTGCATCACCGACTATCAATATAAGCAATTCTGTAGAGGTATTCTGATTTTATAAGAAAAGTGAAATAATTTTTTACTGTACTTTTTCTCCTCTTGTAAAAGACTTTTTTCCGTTATAACATTGACTTTTTCTCTTCTATCCATGTATTGAGTGTGGCATGTTTTAATTATTTAAAATACTACTATCTACTTTTATAGCCAAATTAACATATTTTTTGCCTTTCCATTTCAAAAAGTAATATCAAATAGTGAAATTAATATAACAATTAAAACAGAGTCGTAAAAGGTATTCAAGAGTCAAGTTACTCGTCTAAGCTCATAGGTTTGACAAAAAATTAAATCAATGAGAGAAACATAATGGGTCATGAGAGTAATAAATGATGTATATTTAGTTAATTTTAATTTTAAAATATATCAAAATATTAATATAAAACATAAAATAATATGTAAATGAACGGATTAAATCAACTCGATCCATCATGACCCATGGACACTTATATTTAGTACTCGTTTGACCTGGCTTATTTTTAACTTATTTATTGCTTAAAAGTAAAAATTGAATCAAACAGGATTTTGTGAGAAGCTCTTAAAAAAAAGTAACTATTTTTTAAAGAACAAAATCTAAAAAAAAAAAAGTTTAAAAAAATGCTTCAATTAAGATCTTTCTCTTCTCTTTTTGTTTAGAAAACACACCAACTTATTAGAAGAGCTATTTTTTCTATAAAAAAATCCTCTCTGATAAAATACCCCCTCTCTTGTCTACCTTTTTGCAAATCATCATTCTAAGGTTTTTTTTTTGTTCTTACAAAAATTAAGAAAAAAAAATCTAAAATTTAAAACTACATTCAAGTATTATTTCTTTTTTTTTCTTTCTATTTTGTTTTTCATTTTATTTTTTATTTTTTTGAGATTTTGAAAACTGTCTTTATTGGTTGATAGTTCTCAATTAATTATTTGATATGATAATTATGTGATGTTTATTTATTCTTAACTTCTTGATGGTGTATATAATATTTGTTGATTATAATTGAAATAATTAGTCAAATAGGTCAATTGTTAATTTATTGGTTATTTATGAATTATGTGTTACTTATAAATTATTTGTAGAACTCTTTTTTTGTGATTTATTATTAATTATAACTTTATGTTATATAAATATCCTTTTAATATTTTTAAAAATTTATTTTAAATAGATAAAAATAAAGTTAATTTTTTTTATTTTGAACAAAAAAATTCGTAATTAATAAAAAGTTATTTGTTAAATACATGTAATTTTAATCAAAATTAAAGTTTATATAAATTGTTTTACGAGACCGTTTATCTATAAAAAAGAACTTATAAAAAGTAAATTTACTACACAACTTTAGCTTAATTTTAAAAGTTATTATTTTTCATAAGAGTTTTATAATAACTTTTAAGTTAAAAAAAAAAACCTAGTAATGCTTACAAAGCTATTTTAACTAATTTACCTTGATGAAATCTGCATAGTTCCATATGCTCAAGATCCCATCTCTAGCAGCCTGAGGCGAAGGCCAAAGAGGAAGCCTCACATTTGGGTCATAAGAAAGAAAAACGCCAGCTTCCCTGGCAGCTTTCATGGCTGCCATGTGAGCGGATCGACATGGCTCTGATATCAAGCTTATGGACCCATAATGGAATATTTTGGCCTGCTTGATCATACTCATTTTCAAGTCTGATTCCTTCAACAACATGTCAGCACTAGGGTTTCTATAAAAAGTGAACTCCCTCTCTCCATATTTCTTCAGGGTCATAAATGCCAGTGCAGTTCTGGCATGGGGATCGAAGCAGATGCCATCAGTGTTCACCCCATGTTTCTTCAAGACATCAACCAGCATGTGCCCAAACTCGTCATCCCCAAACTGTTACATTACCTCAAACACATGTCATTAAACTAAACGAAAAAAGAAGAAATTAATAAATGATCAAAAGAGAGGAGGAAGGAGGAGAGGATCGGTGGAGAACCTTGCCGATGAAGGCAGAGTTGCCGCCGAGCTTCTTGATGGCGCAGGCAACGTTAGCGGGTGCACCGCCAGGTGCTTTGAGGAAAGCAGAGGACTCAGCCAGAGAAACACCAGCAATGTCTGGAACAAAGTCAATGAGCATCTCCCCGAAAGATACGATGAGCTGTGGATTTAAACTTGCAAATGAGTTAGCCATGTTTCCCTTCGACGTTTGGTGATCTCTCTCAATACTTGTGTAACTCTAAAGATTGAAACCAAATGAGGTACACCGGTACTAACCTATGTGCTCGCTTATATAAGCCAAGAATAGTCCTTTGGCAAGTAATACTAGAAATATTGCAACTTGACCCCCACTAAGAATTCTATGTGTAAAGCTAAGAATGTAGAGATGAAAAGAGTGGGAATCGCTACAAAGTATAATCCCCCATAGAACTAAGCGAAGAATAATCACTTAGGAAAACAAAGGCATTGAAACTTAAACCCCCCCGACAAGTCTCCTATGAGTAAGCTAAGAATTGGAGATGAAAAAATGGAATAGCTACTATTGCCATCCTAAAAAATTTTTGTGTAAAATACTCTTAAAAGATTTAATCAAAATTCCAAATAGATCTATTAGTTTTCGAAATAGATATTTCATTCCAAAAATACATAAGTCCAGTTGTTGGTATTTTCATTAGTTTGATAATATGATAATATTAAAGTAACAATTTTAGACTTTATTAATTTAAAAAATTATTATTTATATAATTTTTATTAATTTAAAAATATAATAATAATTTTTTAAATTAATAAAGAAAAAAAGACATTTTAATTCTTTCATAATCTCTATTAATGGTATTTACACATTTGGTAAAATGTCCATTTCGAAAACTACTGAACCCATTTGAAATTTAGATTTAAATTTAGAGATATGGAGATATTTTATCCTATATTTTTATGTGCCTAATCTTCATTATGTCTTAAAAACACGACATGTGGCTTGACCAGAGATAGAGAATAAAAATTAAAGTTTAGGGTTTATTCGTACAATAATCATTTATCAATCTTTGATCTTACATTGTACTTCATTTGGTGTTTTTTTTTTTTTATGTTATTACGTACATGTTCAATATATATATATATATATATATATATTAATGTTGTTTATTTGGATGAAAGAAGTGTTATTGTGACCCTTTTTACTAATTTATTTCCCTTTGTTTAATTTTTGGTGATTTTTTATTATGGCTTTTGATTGGTTTGGATGCTGACTTTTTTGAGGGTTTTTTTTTTAAAGGAAAGTGTATTTTATTTTAGGTTCTATCAAGATGTGTTAGTGTGTAACCTTAGATGGATGTGGTGACCCTTTTTATGGTGGCAGAGGTTAGAGCTTGGCAGTGACAATGAGAAAAATGAGATGGTTTGGGTAGTTATGGTGGTTATTGAGTGGGGAATTGGTGGTTGTTGTGGTGGAGGTTGTTGTATGGTGGCAGTGGCTTTGTGTGTGTGTGTGGTGGTTTATGAGATTGTGGATGGTGGCTTAAGGTGTCTTTTAGATGGTTTTGGGTGAATGGTAGAGGTTGAAGTGTTGGAGTGTTAGTGAATTAGAATTACATGTTTATCATACGAATAATTAATTATGTCATTTTCATATTTATTGTTAATTACTTAAATTTACAAAATACAATTAAAATATAAAAATAAAATTAATCATGTTATATTCATGTTTATTGTTAATATTTTATATACAATATGATCAAGACACAGAAACACAAATGATGAAATTTATGTAACCAAAATACTTAATTATTATAAAAATTTATAACGGTAATTTAAAAATATAATAAACGATATATCCCATTTCACATTAATTAAAAATTTTACCAACATCTATGCTTTTATATATATATATATATATATGATAAAATAAACTAGTGATGACGGTTTATATATTAATAGATGTAGATACATAAATATAAATTTAGATTAACCCATACAAATCTATATTTATTATATATATAAAAATATGGATGTTAGAAAACTTTTTGATTGATGAAAATTGTGTTATTTGTTGATTGTATCTTAAATGGATATTTTAAATATTTTCTTATTATTAATACTAATAAAAAAAATTTAATTATTTTTTAAAAGGTAAAATTTTCTTTAATTTATAAATATATAAAATTTCTAATTATATTGAATGAGTTTCATTAAAAAAATATTTTTTAAATTCTAATAATATTAAATAATTTATAAATTAACATTACAAAATTTCAATTATATAATTGAAACATTAATTATCTTTCATATATACTTGTCTTCTATTTATATATAATTAACTTTACATTTTAAAAATACAATTATGTAATTATTATTTATGATTAAATATTACTATTAAATTAAAAGCTGGAATAGAAAAGCAAACAAGGAGTAGTAGGAGGCTTTGACGAGAAGCGGCCATGGACGTGCCACGAAGCTGACCTCGTGGTCCAGCGTGGTTAATGAAGATCTAAAATATTACGAGGGAAAGAGGGAATAGGATCGCCAGCAATGAAAAAAATGGATCTGTACAAGGTGCTGGGGGTGAATCGGAGCGCCACCAAAGAAGAAATCAAAGAAGCGTTTCGAAAGCTGGCGGTGAAGTATCACCCGGACAAGCACTCCCAATCGCCGAAACCCGTCCGAGACTCGGCCACCCTCAGGTTTAAGCAGGTCTCCGAGGCCTACGAAGTTCTCAGTGACGATCGCAAGCGCGCCCACTACAATCTCACTGCTTCTTCTTCTTCTTCTTATAGTTATAATCATCGATACAGAACAGCCAGCCGCGGCGGCGGGGGCTACGGTTACGCTTCTTCCAATTCTTACTCTTATTCTTATAGTAATAACAAAAGTAATATCTGGCAGATTGCGCTTCGCTTTTTCTCTACGCGCACCTTTCTTCTCAATCTCGCCTTTGCCGGGTAATTTCTTTGAATCTTTGATTGTTTCTTTTTTTTTTTTTCCCAATCCCTAAATTGGGATCATTTGTTATTTTATTTTGAATTTGTTTTCTTCTGCTGACCCTTGCAGTGCTCTGTACGGTGGAATTGTTGCAATTGATTCCAGCAGAGAGTCACTATGGAAAATGCATAATTCTGGGGTATGTGTATGACTTTAACAATTACTTAAGAATCCAAATACAAAGCTACAAACTTTACTTAAAACCAATCAAAATAAGATAAGGGTGAACCCAAATTTGAGAAATATAATACTAAGACTCAAAAGCAACTGATAAAAGCCTCAACAATTAAGTATCATAGGAAGTAATCCCTTGGTTAGCTTCTTCTTTGTTCTGCAATATATACTTATATGAAGCTGTTAGCATCATTTTACTTAAACATTCGTAGTGCCTTATGGGTAGGTCAAGATTCAGCTCTCTTCTTGTTTTAAGCATAACCTTAGGCATTTGATTTTGGATTTGTTAGATGTTGCAGAATTGCAATGACTTGGACAAATGTTCATCTCTAGCCATGCCCACTTTATAGCTTTTTGTTTATTTATTTTCAAAAGTGGTTATAGAGGATATACATGCCAAATTACTAATATATTCTATCTAGTCATGGCTTTTGTTTATGACATTGTCTTGTATGGTCATATGACCGTGAATAAAGCCTTATAATTCATCATAAAACTCTGAAAAACCAGACTCACTAAACCCTAAGTAATAGGAGATTACTTTTGAATAATAACGCAATGGACCAAATTGCGATATGACCTGTAATGTTTTGCCTAAGGGCAATTTTTGGTTATGTGACAAGATATTCAATCTTTAGAAACTTGCTTCAGAACGGTACTGATTTTAAGTTATTATTCAGAAATCATTTGAAGAAGCCATGGAGTCACTTGAGAAAGCCAAAGCACATAGAGATACGTAAGAAGACTATTGTTCAAACTCTGTCTGGATTCTGCTAGTTCGAGTTCCAATACTTTATCATGGTGCATTGTTTCCACAATGTTGTGAGATCAAGAGTATTTCTGTACAGTTCCTTCTATTTAATTGTTCATACAGTGATATTTACATCATTGTTTTCAGTGTATGATAGTATAAGTTATTGTAGTACGAGGTCCGCTTTCTCAAAAATGTAAACACATGGTTGTATATGTTAATTGTTAAAGAAATGACCATGTCTGACTTCTCTGCTGCTGAACCACCATTACAACCAATTTTAGAAGAAGTTAACTCTATTGACAATGAATCCTCCTCTTTCCTTTATACAACAGGCTAGAGAACTATTATTCTTGTAGGATTCTCTTCCTTGTAATGCTAACAGTGAAGAAAAAGAAGCAAAGAGACTGCTGGCTCCTGAAAAGTAAGACTTTTTTATGTACCATATGATAGAAATCGAATAAATTCAAGTTGGAGATTATATTTGAATTAAGCTAATGTTGCTTCTGCTTCTTCTTGTGCCATTTTGTTACAAGACATATACGAGAGAGAACATTTTAACATTTTTCTGAATACCAACCAGTTTATGTGATTATTTTGAGGGAAATTGCCTGTTTATCTTTAGCTAATATTTTATTGTACATCTCTCTGAATAAGAAAAGCTTTTTTCTCTTCAACTTCAAAATGAAAAACTGATGGCGCATGGAGGAATCACATAGGCTTTTTTATTTTACTAGGGTTATTCTAAATCAAGGTCATATTTGATATTTTGCATTGTTATCGGGGTTTAGGATTTAGCCTATAAATGCCCTTATTATCTTTTTTTTTTTTTATAGTAGGTGTTGGATGTTAAATGGTTGAGATATTGACATTTTCTCCCTGTTCTTCTCTTTAAACTACTTCTGTTTCTCCATGAATTGCCTCTGTTTCTCTCTAATTTATCCTGTCTATGGTATCCCTCTGATTTCTATTATCTATTCTCTGCCCCACTACACAAGAAGGCAATTACACCCTTTGTGTATCTCTATTTTATGATGCACTGCTAATCTTTGGAAGGTTGAATGTGTGCTATTGAAGGAGGAGACTTAAAACTTTGGAGGTCCTGAATTCATGGCATAAAAATGTTAATTGATGATTCACAATATGAATATATATGTTTTTTGGCAGATCAATTGTTTGTTATCCATCCTATAGTGAAAGTCATACACTAGCAAGTTTATTGTTCTGTTGCTGCACAATGGCTACAATCAACTTACCACCTTTCTCCATATGAATCTTTTAATGCTGTCCCCACTTGCTTCCTATCTTCTCTAATGGGTATTTCTCTGCCTCACTTGATATGATTTGATAATTATATTTAGTGTATCATCCGTATATATATGATTCAATGACGAAAGCAATACAAATCATATTAATGTTTTAGATTTAATGCACTAAAATCTTGTTCTTCTTTAATCGACTAACTCTCCATTGAGTGAGATTAGACTGGAGAAAAGATTTATTTTACATGTTGTCAATATGGAAACAATACTAATCAAATTAACTATTAGGGCTCAATATGCTAGAAATTTTTTTTTATTTAATTTCCAACTCCCCCATGAATGAGATTGGACAGGAGAAGGGATTTATTAACTTTATTTTTTATATACAAGTCGGTACTAATTAAGTCTAACTGGCTTTATTAAATCATAATTATAGATTATAATATTAATTTTTATAAAAATCCAATTTAATAGAAAGGGCATTGTAGGCATTAATTGGACGGCTAATAATACGCCACGTGTAAGTATCGGAGGGGTTGCTGCCGTTGTTGAGCTGTGGCAAGCCACGCTCCTTCCTTTCCTTACTTTCCTCTCTGGAATATTCGGAGAAAGCTCTGTGAAAGGACCTTTTGCTCTGCTTACCCGCCCTTCTCTTCTCTTCTCTTCTCTTCTCTCGCCTTCTTTCTTAACAATTCCGAAGCTTTTAACCCTAGAGAAAAACCAAACAACATCAACGAAAAATGGCGTCGTTCCAGGAAGCACCGCCTGGTAATTCAAAGGCCGGAGAGAAGATTTTCAAGACCAAGTGCGCCCAGTGCCATACCGTCGAGAAGGGCGCCGGTCACAAACAAGGTACTTATTCCATCTTTTCTCTGATTTAATTTCATTGGATCTGTTGATGTTAGGTGCTTTTTGTAGTAATATATTTGATGATTTGGAAGGATCTCTTATCTCTGAATTCCCATAGATCTAAATAGCATCAACCCAAGTATCTGTTCCTGAAATTTTGAGTTTTGGGGTTGGATTATAATTTAATGAAATAATTGCTTTGGGAAAATTTTCTTTTGGATTAGAAATCTGGGTTCAGTTTTTTGTTTCGAATTTTTTCTTAATCAGGGCCCAATCTCAACGGTCTATTTGGAAGGCAATCGGGTACAACTCCAGGGTACTCATACTCCGCTGCTAACAAGAACATGGCTGTGATTTGGGAGGAGAAAACTCTGTATGATTACCTTCTCAATCCTAAGAAGGTTAGCTGCTAACATAACCCATTTCACTCTTCAAAAATCACTCATTTTTAGTGTTTTTGTAATATAAGCATCTCGATATCATAAATCTTTCCTCATATTATGTAGGAATGTTTTGGTAATTGTTAGAAGTACTGTGATAGTTCTCTGCTTTGTGATTATGGTTGACCTACTCTTTCTGGTATATAAATAATTTTATTTATTGCCATTCTTGTTTATTTTCTGGGATGTGAATTAGCTTCATGCCTTTGCTTTCCTGATAGCGAGAATAGAAGCGTAATCTTGAGTAAATTGATTTTTCTCTAAGTATAAAACAATACTAGAATTTGTCTAGGTGTTTAGTGGCCGGGGGGTGGAGTGAAATAATTACATGGTTTGAACTGTGCTGATGCTGAGGATGTGTGGGAAGTTGTGGACCGCCATTAACAATGTCAATACTCTTGAACAAGCACTTTTTTTTTTTTTTGCCTTTTTTGAATTCTAAAATTTGTGCTCATTTGAGATATTGAATTTTACTGTTTCTTTCAAAGGTATTGAAGTCATTCTGTATTGTGCTTGGTTATTGACAATTATAGGAATAAAAATCTTGTTTTTGTGGATGCTCTTAATTTGTTGTGTCTGCAGATGTTCATATCTTTCATTTTTGGCTGCTGTTCTTATCAAATTCATTGTTGATGTTTACTGAATAGTGTTGCTCACCTTGGTACAATTTTTGTGCAGTACATCCCTGGAACAAAAATGGTTTTCCCTGGATTGAAGAAGCCACAGGAACGTGCTGACCTCATTGCATATTTGAAGGAATCTACAGCACCCTAAATGGCTTTGCGCACTCTTGGTTTACCTATTCCATTTTGCAGTCATTGGAGATTGTTTCTCACAGCAAGGATATAATAAATTCGACCTTGTAGGTCAGCCGTGCTCTTTGTAGAATGAGCATTCTTAGTAATTGTTTATTTGAGAAGAGGTTGCCATTGCTGGCATATGTAAGGCATATTCAATTTAGACTACATGAATTTCTGGTGAATTACCAGCATGCAAATGAGAATTTTTTTTCATATTGTTAAACAGATTCCACTGCTTCTCATTTCAAGTTTTATTTGGTGGAATGTTTAAATTTAATGATGCTTTTTTCCAGCTCAAACCTCAATAGTCTATTCTAGGCAGTTTATTTATGTGGGTATGTCAAAGTGTTAGGGTGCATGTTTTGGTTGTGTGTGGTCTCCCATCTTCATGAGGAATGTTGGATGGAACATTTTTTTCTTTTTTCTTTTTATAGTTTTATGGAAGCAATTGACATGAGGCATTGCTTTTCCTAGCATTTGTAAGAGGATGCTGATGTTATTTTGACAATAAGCTGTTGAATGCTAGCTGACATACTGAGTGATTGGCTTGCCCTGGCTTAGGCTATCTTTAATTGTTTGGTAACTGTTTCATGAAAAAGGCACAGAAAAGCACATTAAGAGGCTAAATATTATTATCCATGACCATGAGCCAGATGTGCTTTTAGTGTAAAGACTCCATGAATGTGTTGGATGTGCAGATAGATCTTGAATATATAAACATGATATGGAGATGATTGAATCCTTTCGTTATTTATCGGGCGTGTTTTTTTAAGCAATATGAACATTGCACAATTAGGCGATTGGATTAAGATAGTTAATAAAACTTGTTACAAATTTTCAATTCAAAAGACATTTATTAAATAAAATAAAAATTTTATTTATAAGCTCAAGACTAATTTCATTCCTTGTTGATTTGTAATTCGTGATTGAAGCATGTCTCTTGACTTACTATGTTGGGATTTACAGCATGATAAAATGTTTCTTGTGAGAAAGGATTTTTCAGGAGGGCTGTCATAATATTTAAAATTCTACTATCAATTCACACAAATATGTTCATTTAGATCTTATTTAAAAGAATATACTTCCAATTTTCTTTTTCTTTTTCATTCTAATAATTGAACCTCAATCCACAAACCAAAGACCTCATTTCAGTAGCAATTTGTTTATCAGCAATAGTTGGGCATTATTATCAAACCACAAGGCACAATTCATCAACATAATAACTCCACCCTTGATACTTCTCCTAGCTTTAAAATCAACAAAATTAAAGTTAAAAAAGAAGATATTTAAAGCCAATGCCATTGAATTTGTGCAGCTGATTCATCATGGCTATCACCCAGCTGATTCAAGATTCTGGCTGCACCGGCCGACGGAGTCCTGGGATCTGCAACATAATTCAACTGTAAATAGAGGTATCCAATAATGCAATAGGAAAAAATAATAAAAATAGAAATGTAAGTGATGATTAAATTCATGAAGAAATTTTCTTGAAATCAATAATGCCTTTCCTTCTTCCTGAAGGATGCAGCACTTTAGATAGAGCATTAAGGATTGTCTTGTTCTAAGTTACAGATTCCTAAAACATATGGCTTGTATCCTTAGACAAAATAAAATGAATCAGAAATTTCCTTGACAGGATTGTAAGTGGTCAGAGTGTTTGTGAATCACGATCTTAAACGTTTCAGTGTCCAAGTCAATCAATAACTTCAAATAATATTAAAAAATAGTTTTGTAGAAGTAAAGAAAATCTTCTCCCAACCAATTTACAATCATCTTTGGCAACAAATACTAACCTCGACTCCATGAGGGCCAATGCGGTTACGAGATTTAAAATTGAGTATCAACATTGCAAATTCATCGGGCACATCTTCCTACATTTTTGTAACATTTAGAACTCGCAATTTAGAAAATAAATAAATAAATATAGGGAAAAGAACACATAAGGCAACATAACTGATGAACCTGTATAGCATGTCCTGTATGTCTGACAACCACCATTTGAAACTTGCCTTGCATTTGACCAATTGTGAGAGCTCTATAACAAAACAACGCAGAGAAGTTCTCAGAATGTCAACTAGGACCAAAACAATCAATCTTATGATGATGCAAGTTCAAAATTGACCAAAATTGTTGTTAATTTATCATGTTATGCTGATTACTTTAGTAATATAACCATGTAAATTTGAAACACAAAGAAGCTCAACATTATGGGTTATGGTCTCATCAATACATGGTCACAGGTTGTAACATATTGTCCAGAACACAATATTTACAAGTTGCAACATATTGTAAAAAATGAAAAATTAAAATCATTACAAATCTCTTGTCGTATCCTTGCCAATCTCATATCCTATTCCACAAGAATCTTCACGCATACATGTCTATATTTTGTTACACTAGTGTCTTACATTCAAGCCCAACACCGAAGAATTAGAAAAACTTTTGTTAAATATCATTCAAGAATAATATTAGACAAAACTGTTCCTATTATACCATCTTCAGAAAAGATAACAGGCCTGCTTTTCACTTTCAATAAGACTAGTTCAAAGGCCAGATAATGTAGAAATTGATCATGGTTGATATCAATCTCACCCCTCCAAGCAGTTCAGCCAAAGAGCTTCAACACAAACTGCAGAAAATTTTCAGACAGATCCCAGAGGTCATGCTACTCATCATATGAGCGCACAGGCCCAAATGCCATGTTAGTGAAGGCAATGTAAGTGCAGCTCCAGGCCGCTGAATGTGCAGAGAACATATTAATTGACATGTTTTTGCCTAATGAGTATTTAATTTGTCCCATAATAAAAGATATACAATAAAATTCATTATAGGTGATGATCTATTTATGATAGTAAACAAACAATTTTGGTATTATAATAAAAAGGGAAACATGAGCAAATCAAATAGGCAGAGCATTAGAGATCCAATGGAGGCTACCTGTCCAGTCTGTCTGTTCCAGCCAATAACAAGAGCTTTGGAACAGGACAAGATAGAAATTTTTCTGAAAGGCCTTCATACCTGGGAGACAGTTAGCAAAATTAAAATGGAAATATTAAAGCAGACAGTACCATAAGAACTCGAATCTTCATTTGAAATAATTTTACCACTTGAATGTTTAAAAGGAATAAAAAATCAAAAGACAAGCAATTAAGACTGGTTTCATTATTCGGCAATCAGAACTGCCATTGCAGATGAACCTTGAGAATACGTCACAGCTTTCGGTTCTCAAACAATTACCACAAGCAAAATAAGTTGACCATACAGTTCAGTCAGGAGTTTTTCTCTCTTTTCTTATGCAGACCGAAAAACTAGTGAGGACCCCTTTATTTTCATCGAAATGGTTACGCAGAACATGGTTCATGAATATGGTTCATCCATGCATTTGGCTATGTATGATGGAATTACTCTTTCTGTAATAAATTAAAAAAGTTGTATGTAAATGTAAATATTGATACTTTTCATTCAAATATAATCAATTTCTTCACAAAGATCTCCTGTGAATGAAAAGTTTGAATGAATTTGAATGAAAAGTTTCGGTGTCCTATACAAACCTGGACACTGGTGAAGAAAACTTGTAATCCTACTTCCAAGAATTCTTCGGCACTCATGCTCCATAGCCTGTAATCCTTCATCACCGATAGTAGTGTCCAGGTTTGTATCGGACACCGACACACAGGGGTACACGGTGTATCCATGCTTCATAGCCCGTAATCCTACTTCCAAAAAAACTTTGGCATTCAAGTTTTTTAAACTAGAATTCCTAAATGCAGATATTATGTCTCTATAATTTTGACAGCAGGATTCTCTAAACCACAATTTATTATATTGTTGTTTGGAACCAAAACAAACATTTTTACACTCATTAGAGGCAATAAAAGATGAGTCAACTAAATCAACTCCAACCTACCGATGATTCAAATCAGCAGAAAAAATCTGGACCTGACATCCACCTATAGAATAAAAGTGGCAAAATTTGATTCAAACCCAAAACACCCCCCAACTCGTACTACCTTGAATTGACTAAAGTAATTAATGACCCAAACCTGAAATGACCAGAAAAGTACAAAAGTTGATTTGATCTGAACCTAAAACAACCCAGACCCAACCTACCCAACATGACCTTTTCCTTAACAAGAACAATTCATTACCAGTTTACAATGGTAGACTTCCAAAACTACAATTACAGTCAGTATAAAACAGAACAATAAAAGGTCCAGAAATAAGTTGTTACAAGCATGGTGTCACAGGAAGAAGTTTGTTTTTGACAGATTCTGGGATAGAATTCAGTAAATTTACAAGAGGACAAAAACCTTTTGATTCACAATTCCTTTGTGTAAACTTTAAAAATATCCTTATCCTTAGATGATATCATATTAAAAAAAAAATGCACAGAAAACAATCATATGGAGAATGGAAAATAAAATAAAGATCAGCTCATGGAAGCACACATCTCCTAATAATTAAATTATTTTTCCTACAACCAGTCAAACGATATACATAGAAGCAAACTCCCAAAACTTCAAGTTTTGATCACTTGAAACCAAGCAGAAAATTAATTGCCTGAACATGAAAGGACTTGTTCTTCCGGCACATTATATATAGTGGCCACCCGTAAGAAGCCAGGAAAATTCCTATAATAAATTTGTAAACCACTAGAATGAGCAACACACTTGAAGGTAAACAGCAATCCCAGACCTATAAAAAAAAGGACAAACCTACAAGCTAGTTGCAGACTTACATTAACCATAAGCACGATTTCAGATCATCAGAAGCAGCTTGAACAAAATATATACACATGAAAACTGTAACAACTCTTAAATGATGGGTTTAATATAAATACTTGACAAACAACCAGGAAAAATTGCATGTCTGGCTGAATATCCAAACTAATAAATCATTAAATTGTACCCAAGCAGGTGGCAGAAAGCACCAATTTGTAGTTAAGACATTTACAATGAAGACTAAGGTTTAAGTTGGAATATCCATAACAACAATAGACCTCATCATTATTAAACAGTTTTCTATGGAATTAATAATAAAACTTTACTCACCAGCCTCTCCAATATTGTTCAGTTTCTTCCAACCGTGCTCTGTGGACATAACTATGGGAAAAAGTTAGAATTATTCCTTTTGGACTTGGAAATTTACACAATAGCAATATATAATTAGATGATAGAAACACTTACCATTTCTTTGAATCATCATACTTTAAAGTGGTAGGAATGGA